GTTTGGGGAAGTTTTGGATTCCCATCTTGTAGAGACCAGAGACAAGAAGTTCCTTCCATCTCTGACAAGGCGTTCAAGTTTCAGGGCAGTTCCATACTTCCTTAGGTCAACATTCAGAGCAGAGGGCAGTACTGGGGCTCAAGGGCCACAGAGGCAGACCTTTAATCGCCATGAATGCCCACAGGAAAGCATGGCCAGAGACAGGCCTCAATTCTCAGGCAAGTGGCCCTTTTGTGCGGGAGGAAGTCACTTTTTCCATTGCTCCCGTTAATTGTGGTAGTAGTTCTCCCATTGGGGGCAGATTATCCAGTTTTGTTGCCCAATGGGAGACTACAACATCTGACGCTTGGGTCCTAAATACCATCAGACATGGCCTTTTCTTAGAATTCAGATCACAACCCCCAAGATTCTATGTGCCTTGCCCTGTATCCAGGGAGGCAACCTGAAGGAAACTCATGGAACTCAAGCTATTCAACACCTACTGGATATTCAAGCCATCCAGACAGTTCCATTGAGTCAGCAGAGTAAGGGATTCTATTCCCGGCTGTTTGTTATTCTTAAAGCCTGGGGGGGGGGCAGCCATTCTTGACCGTAAAAGGCTCAATAAATATTTATGTTACAAGCGTTTCAGGATGCATTGTCTACAATCTATTTTGGAGAACGTTAGGGAGAATGGCTTCCTCACCTCAATTGATCTTACAGAGGCATACCTGCCAGGATTTGCCAGGAGCACAGGGGGTTTCTACGCTTCAGCTATGCTGGGAGACAGTTTCAGTATAGGGCTATGCCCTTCGGTGTGTCTTCTGCTGTTCAAGTATTCACTAAAATTTTGGCCGTTTTGGTAGCTCGCTTAAGAACCATCCCAATGAGGGTGTAGTGTTACCTGGATATCTTAATTCATTCATCCCCACAGATCTGGGCCTTAAAGGACCTCCAGGTGACAGTTTCCTTTTTGCAAAACCACGGTTTCTCAATTAACCACAAGAAGAGTCATTTCATACCAACCAGACATTTATTACATCTAGGAGCAAACATTGACACTTTGTCTTGCAAGGTGTTCCTTTCCCAAGAGCGCAAGTATAGTCTTCAAGGGAGATCACAAGGGTGGATAAAACCCCTTTGGCACTTCTCTCCCAACTTTTAGGCAAGATGGTCTCTTGCAATATCCATTGTGCCTTGGGCTAGGTTACATTTTTAGAATGTTACAGTGGTTCCTCTTGCCCTATCAAAAGGCAAGCAAAAGCCATTCCTCATGTAAAGTCATGGTCCCCAGGTCAGTCAAGCAGTCTTTACAATGGTGGTCTTCCCAGGCAATAAATGAAGGTCACTTGTTCAAGGAGCCTCATCACCTGGTTATCACTACCGATGCCAGCCTCTTTGGCTGGGGGGCTCATCTGCAGTCACAATTAGCACAAGGCCGGTGGTCTGGTTTGGAGAAAGGAAAAAATATCAATTGGTTAGAGTTGAGAGCAGTAAGATGGGCTCTCAAGAAATTCAGGGGCACTATACAGAATGAACAAGTTCTGAATTTGACGGATAATGTCGCCACTAAGGCACATATTAACAGGCAAGGTGGCACCAGATCCAGGGCCTTAATGTTCGAAGTGGAATGCCTGGGTCTTTGGGCAGAGAGGAATCTCTTATCCATTAGAGCAGAGCATATATCTGGGGTAGAAAATGTACAAGCTGACTGGCTCAGCAGGGCCAGAATTGACCCTTCAGAGTGGAGTATTCACCCTCTTCTATTTCAGGAGCAGACATGATGGTTCGGACCACCGGTTGTGGACCTTTTTGCGTTTCCAAACAATGCCAGATTTCCCAGGTTTTTCACCAGGCTCATGACACGGTGGGTGGAAGGGACCAACGCCCTCAGAAGCAGGTGGCCTCAGGGTCTCCTGTATGCCTTCCCTCCTCTTCCACTTCTATCAGCGGTCATCAGAAAGATACTGGAGGAGGAGGAGGAGGAGGAGGTCATACTTCTGGCCCCTTACTGGCCCAGACGCCCCTGGTTTGTGGACCTGGTGAATCTCTCAATCACCCAGCCATGGAGGATCCCCCCCTCACAAAGTTTCAATACACCAAGGAAAATACTTCATCCAGAGCCTCTGTGGTTCCAACTGACTGCATGGTGGTTGAGCGGAGCGCTTTGAGGCAACAGAACGTACCAGAGAAAGTCATCCACACTATACTAGCAGCTAGGAGGCCTTCCACAAACTACGTTTATGAGGCCACTTGGAAGGTTTTTCTGTCAGTGGTGTAGCAAGACTGCACTCACTCCCACCTCTGCCTCAGTAGCCAACGTATTAGATTTTCTACAGGAGGGACTTGACCAAGGGCTCTTGGCCAACTCCCTTCACAAACAGGTGGCTGTGCTCTCCTCTGTCTTGTACATTCATAGGAAACAGTCCTTGTTTCTTAATCAAACTATCCATCGGTTCCTAAAGAGAGCGTCCAACCTTAGACCTCCAGTGGTCCATAGGTTCCCAACTCTCTAAAGCATTAAAGGTGTTAATGAGTGAACCATTTGAGCCTCTCAGATCCATTAGTTTACATCTGTTATCACTTAAGGTAGACTTCCTAGTAGCCATCACTTCAGCCAGAAGAATTTCCAAAATGGCTGCGCTTTCAGTCAGGGAAGATATGTGTATTTTCCACCCAGATAGGGTTGTTTTGAGATTAGACCCTCTTTCATCCCCAAAATCAGTTCGAGGTTTCATAGGGCCCAAGAGCTCATATTACCAAATTTCTGTCCCAATCCCACACATAGTTTGGAACGGGCATGGCATGCTATGGATGTTTGCAGTGCATTAAAGATTTACATCTGGAGAACCCATCCAATATGTAAGACAGAGGCACTTTTTATGTCCTTTCAGATGGGCACATTAGGCTCAAGGGTGGCTCTGTCTACAGTGGGTAGATGGATTCGTGCTTGCATATCTAAAGCCTATCAGAGTAGGTCTCTTCTGGTGCCTTGAGGACTGACTGCCCACTCTACCAGAGGTGTGGCAACGACGGCAGCATGGGCCACTCAAGCGCCCATTGAAGAGATCTGTTGAGCGGCTACAAGGTCATCACCATCACCATTTATCCAACATTATCGATTGGATGCCTTTGCATCGGCTGATGCGGCATTTGGCAGAAGGGTTCTGCAGAGCGTATATACACACCACTGTAAGTAGGACCAGACACAAGCCCTCACAGGGACAGTCCAGCTTGCGGCATAGAGAGTCCAGCCCTACCCATATCCGTCTGGTCTGGGTGTGGGTTGGGGGGAGTGATGATGTATGTCATTTTTGCCTTTGAATCTATAGAGTCATGTCCAGTCTGCCAGGTGCTTCATTGAAAGCTGGGGCATGGCCTACAGTGCAGGGTGGAGCTTCAATCAATTGCACAGACTCAGTCCAATAGGTCGAGGACTCGAGCCTACCCATTCTCTCTGGACTCTCTACACCACAGGAGAAAAGGAACATTCAGATAAGCCAGTGTTCATATTCCTCCAATTTTGTCATCCATTACATCTTTCAAAACATCAGCATTTATGAGCTGATTGAAAAATAGATTTTTTAATTAGGAGCATTGTTTCTAAGTGAAGATTTTCTTAAGACTGTTGTGGCCCGCTGGCAGCTAGCAGAGCTGGCAGCAGAGTCGGACAGTGAGGAGGAACATGGGCCAATTCTGGAGCCTGAGGAAGGCTTGGATGAGGGCTCTGCATCAGAGGCAGAGATGGGGCCAGGGCAGTCTGGCAGTCATCAGCTGCCTTCGGAGTCAGACAGCAGTGAGGTGGGGGAGCAGCTGGAGCGTATTCACAGAGCTGCCAAAAGAAAAGAACTAAGGGTTGATATGGGAGTAAGGCCACAGGTGGACAGTGAATGGCCCCTCCCATAGGGATTAAAAGAGGGGCAAAAGGGGAGGGGGCTTTTGCAGGAAACAATTCATTCATTGCAGCAGTGTGAAGATCTCTCTGTGCATCTCAGAGACACTGTGCCAAGCCCTTCCTTGTCAGCACTGTGTTTGAAAATATTTACTTGGCAGTTCTCCAAGCTAGATAAGGTCTATGTTCCTAATTACACCCTTGAAAGACTGTTTGCCAGGCCTTTGGCTGAATGTGAATGCAAGAAATTATTTATTTTTGTTGTATCAGTTAGACTTGATTATATTTCATTGAATTTTTAATTTTTGTTGCTATATGTCATCTTGAGTTAAATAGCATCCCCTAACTTGGCATTTGGGTAGATAGAATTTGTTTTTCTTTCTCTCTCTTTCTCTCTCTCATATCAATATATAAATTTATGTAGCGACCCAATTCACAACTACAAATCTGGACTTTGCATATAGGATTAAAACCAAACAAAAACAATGAAACAATAACTCAAATCTTAAAAAGCATCCTATTAACAAGCTCATCCAACCTCCAGACCCAATAATCAAAGGAATATCCAGGTCTTCAGGAATTTATCCAATGCTAGCAGGATCAGTGAGTGTTTTCACTAGGAAACCATCATAGCTACTATGGGAAGTGAAAAGAAATATTCCTGAAAAATGACTACTTTTGAATTCTTACCAAGAAAAATGATACAGATATTTCCTTGTAGTCACCATGCAATGAGAGCAACTCAAAGAAGACTTGCTTTTCCCCGCCATCTTGACTATCTTGCTCATAGTGCAATCCGCCAATGAATTACTATAATTGCAACATATTTACATATGAACTCACTTCAATATTTCTTTAGCCTAATCTTTATCAATCTATCTGAAAGGGTTATGCTTTTATTAATATCATTTGTTCAGAAGTATTTTTATTCCAAGTTAAACCAACATGGGTACACTGCCTCTCACTCTAGCAGTAGTATATTAAATAAGTTATCTTTGTATTCTAGCCAAACCTGTTTTATTTGTCTTAAACCACAAGCGTATTAGACTTATTTTTTCATTTGTTATTTAGTACAATGATTAATCAGTATCATATATTAAGAAAAATGTGCATCTTATTCTTTTCCCAGTATGTTCCACTGCAAATTTTATTGAAGTTTATGATCCATATTGCTCTAGGAATGGAATACCTCAGTAGCAAAAATTTCCTCCACAGGGACCTGGCTGCCCGAAATTGCATGTGAGTTCTGTAGTGTTTTCTTTTCTACTCGGAATTCAGTTTGATTTTCAGTCAGAAATTGTAAATCTTAAAGTGGAAAACAATAATGGTGATCAAAATCTAGTAAATATAACTATAATAAGAAATCAAGGAAAAGTGTTTTTCAAATTATTTACTGCATTTTGAATGTTTGAAAATTTAATGTACAGTAATTACACAATTAATTCTGTTGAGATTCTTATACAGTACTTCAAACTCCAATCCCCAAATGTACTTTTTTCATGATAGAGGAATTCCTTATAAAACTACATTAGGCAAAAAAATACTTCAGAGTCTAGCTTTCTCTATGGCATGTTACCTGTATGCTGATCTAAATGCATAGTTACAGCATTTGTTTTTGTGAAAAATATAGAAAGTGTATTGCAGGGATTCTGATGTAATGAAGGGAGGGGTGCTTTAATCTTAGTGCACCATTTTCCCAACCTTTTTTCTGTGAAACTTGGGAAATAAATATTAATGAATATAACCCAGAGGTGTCAAACTCACGGCGACATCATGTGACATATCAGGACTTTTTTCCCCTTCACTAAACCAGGCGGGGCCAGCACATGACACATCTGGCCCACGGGCTGTGAGTTTGACACTCCTGATATAACCTCTTGGAAAATAACAGGAGAAGAAACTGAAGGGAAAGAATAAAAGCCACACACAAGATGCCATTTGTACATGAAACATACAGCAGTAATATTTGTGGAAAGGATTTCAGTCACCTTGACTCCACCCCGATCAAAGGATTACAGGATTGTAAAGAGAGAAAAATGATTTCACACTGGACATAAGCTACCGTAGCAGAGAAAGAATTGAACTATATTTTCCATGTCCTCAGAGGCATTAGTTCTGCTTTACATTGAAAAGTATGAGTTAATCTGTAACTCATTCAAGTGTATTCTACCTTATGAAGGAAATAATTTGGAATAGATTCAGAGAAAGACAGCAAATATGAAGATATGAAAAACAAGGCCTATGAATTTGGCCTGAAATGAATAGTAGATAAAAGGCTAGAGGTTATGATAGCAACCATCAGATACTTGAGAGAGACACAGAAGAGATTGAAAAGTAATTTTTTTACTAAGAACAGGGTTTAATTTCACACATTTTAAGTTACAGAAAGAGACATAACAAATAACTGTTAAGATAAAGATATTGACAATTATTTAGAAGGATGGTGAACTCTCTGGATGAGATTTTCAAATAGCAGTTAGATAACATTTTCCAGTACAGCAGAATCCTGGAATCTTGGTTCCATACATTAATCAAGGGAATGGATCAGTTGACTACAAGGTTACTACTAGTTCTGGGATTGTATAAAGCAATAGTACAGAATTTAAGCATCCTTTCCCCCCTGCTGCTTCTGTCCTTCCTGTCATAAATGTAGGGCTCTGGAGACTGAAGCAAAGATCATTAGATGCTGATTGATTAAACCGTTCTGATTTAGGCCTTCCCATTTTCTCTGTTGTGTATTGCCCAGCCTATGCTTTTTCTCACAATAACCCTCCATGGAAAATGGAGAACAACAGTAACAATTAAATATAAGAGTGAGCAAGGACTGAACAGCATGCGACATGCAGTTTTGTAAAAACCCTACCATTTGCTTTTTTAATTTGAGGAACTTTCCATACTTGCAAATAATAGATGGTAAAGTAAAGTGCAATTCTGAAACCAGCTATTTGTATCGAGGGGGGGGGGGAATTAAATTTAACCTATTATATGCCCATACTTTATGGCATTATCTCCATATTTTATAACATGCATATCAAAATCAGAAACAAGTATAAAAGGGATGGAATTACAAAAACCACTCTCTGAGATTTCCCCAATAATTATAAGGACAACTAGATAATTTTACATTCTGCTTACCTCAGTCTCTTCTGCTTTTGTTATTATCTTTCAGTGATAAACTAGGAGGTAGGGGGCAATGGAAGAATGTTTGTTTTTAAGCTACTCTAGAAGCTGAATAACCTGAAGAACAGGGGGAAATGCTTCAAAGTTGTAATACATTCCATATCATCCTTAGTCTGATATGTGTCAGAATCAGAAACAGCTTTAATTTGGATTTGGGGAGGAGGGGCTGGACTCTTGATTGATTGTGTGCCATCAAGTCAATACTGACTCTTAGCAACCACTTAGTTCTTCTCCAGAGAGAAAGAGACTATGTAGGGAAGTCATTTTGATTCATATCATCTCTTTCCCAAAGTATACAGACATATGAAATAATGCTACATCTTTGAGGAGCCTCTTTCTTGTAATATGAATTCATATTAACTGGCATACATTAATGGACAGGTTGCGAGATGACATGACAGTGTGTGTAGCAGACTTTGGTTTATCCAAGAAAATTTATAGTGGAGATTATTACCGGCAAGGGCGTATTGCAAAGATGCCTGTTAAATGGATTGCTATAGAAAGTCTTGCAGATCGAGTCTACACAACAAAAAGTGATGTGGTAAGTAAATGAGGAGAAGGTGTTCCAATTTAACAGTTAAGTCTGGCTCCAGGAGGAAAAATTGTCAATTTGGTTTGACAGAATTCTTATTATAATATAAGAACCATACTATATAATGTGCCCCTGTTTTTTACACAGCAGTAAGCTGGTTTGAGAATAAAAGGCTTGTTCCTATGATACTTATATTTGACCTGTTCATTTTAATAGCACATAAATTATTCAAAAATTTTCTGCAGACAACTATGCCCTAATCTACATCACTTTCTTCAAATTTTATAAAATATTATATTTGTTGCTCTGAATCTTCCTTCAGTTTTCTAACAAGGATTAGTTATTTAATATTATAATGTTAAAGAAAAAAAGTCCAACTAGTTTACTTTTAAATAATACTAGCATACCTTTAAAAAAAAAGCTGTGATGAAGTATAGTGATAAAAATAATTGTTTGATAATACAGTATCAATGTATCAAGCAGTTAATTACATGGTTACAGTACAGAAAAATTGGGCATCCTATCCCTAAGCTTATAATAATCCCTAAGCTTATTTGTCAAATAAAACTAGGGGTGCAACTCCCTCCACTGAAAGAGAGAATATTTATTAACGTTTCAGACAAGTTCTGGAGCCATTAATTGTCCTTTTCTATGATGCTTTTGTAGGTGCAAGTTACCAACAAAGTTAGGTTAAAGAACAAACCTACCACATCCAAAATTATTCCTTTAAAATGTGGTAAACATAGTCTAGATATCTGTGAGAAGAAATTCAATGTAATTTTTTAAAAATGGCCGGCTCTAGTTTACAAAAAAATGGCCGGCTCTACACTAAAAATCTCCACAGACCGTTCTCATCCTGGACATTCATATTTCGAACTGTTACCATCAGGGAGGCGTTATAGGTGTCTTAAAATGAGGACTAATAGATTGATAAACAGTTTCTTTTCCAAGGCAGTAATTGTCTTGAATCAAACAGTGCATTTGTGATCTAGTCCTATTATTATTATTTTAATTTTTAAATACTCTGTAGTATGATTGTGGTGTGGTGTTTGGGGCACTGTGCTGGAGTAGCTTTCAAATTTCATTGTATTCGTGGAATGCAATGACAATAAAAAGATATTCTATTCTATATTAAACAAAATATAGCCAGTTCCAACTAGCAGTGGTTCTCGATTTCCAAGCCTCATTAACTGAAAAACTTTCAGTCTCAGATGCCAGAAATTAAATTGGTATGTTTCTGCATATTAACATTCTACCTCTAGTATTAAAGTGTACTTTTTTCAAAGAATTATTAGTTAGAATTACAATCCTAAAACATTAGAACTGAAAATTAAATATCTTGGTCAGTTTCAATATTTACTATTCACTCTTTTTATGTAATAAAAAATGTAATTTGCAATCAGGTGAAGTTACTGGGAATACAATATCACCAATATGATTTTCAACAATGCATCAGAAAATGCAGCATAGTTCTTTTTAATGGACAAAAAACAATCTCAATATGTTTGGTGGGACTTATTCCCCAAAAAGTGTCCATAGACAAGATAATTTAATTGTCATTAAATTATTATTTTTTAAATGCTGTTTAAGTAAGTTATTCCTCTATTTTCTTTTCCTGTAGTGGGCGTTTGGTGTTACAATGTGGGAGATAGCAACTCGAGGAATGACTCCATACCCAGGAGTGCAGAACCACGAAATCTATGATTACCTACTTCATGGGCATAGACTAAAGCAGCCAGAAGGCTGTTTAGATGATTTGTAAGTATGTTGTAATTGTGATAATAACAAAGCATAATTGTAGTGATTAAATACATGGCTTGCTTATGAGAGTAGTTATATTTGCAGCTTGGAAATATGGAAACCAAGAGATGGTTTCTCTTTGCTTTAATAGACTGTTTTTGCTAAAGCCTTTAGACTATAAACAATTGCTGAGATAAAATAAAACAACTAAAATTCTCTAATTGCAGCCACTATGTAAAAGGAGGGCTGGATTTGAGAAACTGGTCTCCTTGCAAGATTCTCGACTAGACTCTTTTTGCAACTCACTTTAAACAAACCCGATGTTTCACCTCCACCTAGTTCAGGACACTAATATTAAAAATTCACAGCAAAAACAAATCAAGGTGAAGATCTAAAAGCACAAAACATGATTAAAGTCAAACCAAAGCCCTTCATTGCTTGGTATTAAAGAGTTGCCTGTGATGGGTGGCAAATAAATTTAATAAATAAATAGATTAGAAAGATTTGTTCTCAGGCCAGCCTTTCTAGAGACAGCATTCAACACATGGGGCGTCAAACTCTTCCTCCCATAGTTGCCTGCTTCATCTCACCCAGCAATGATACCTGGATTATGATTGTAAGGTTAACAGGCTATATGGTAAGAAATGCCCCAAATCAATATTTTGAATATCAGCTCGTGTCTCTGCTTGGACAGAACCATCAAGGTGCTTCTACTGGATTGCCCCTTGTACCAAGGCTCTGATTTAATATTGCCACCTCCTCCTCCTCACTAAATGCATGGATTGACCTCAAATGGATGTTACCTATTTTCTACTGGTGGATTAATCTATAAAATGTAATATAAAATCCCCCTTCATCACAAGGACACAGCTTTAAAGAGTAAAGTCCCCCCTAAATATCTCTTCTAGGATGGCTGTTCCTAGTCCATTAAAATATTTTATGGTTAGTGCTGTCTTAAATTTAGAGATAGGTATTTGGTTTAATTATATTAGTAGTGTAAAGCAGCAGAGACTGACTACTGAAAATCATACCTAGGAAGGCCAGCAAATCTAATTGCATATCCACCTACATCACATAATTTTAAGGCCTGTTTATAGCCCATCATAAGCACTACATCCCATGAAAAGCCATAACACAGCAATTTCCAAAGAATTAGTCAATTAAATAATGTTAAACTACTTTCTCTCCACCAATCTGGACTGAAGCAGAATTAAACCATATCTGCTCCTTTGTTTTCTGAATGGATTTTATGGGAAGGAGGCTTAATTTCACATCCACACACACCAGCCACTTCCCACTCGAAATACCTCATTTAGGAAGCATGGAGGATGTAGTCAGCAACAACAAAACTAACTCAATATCTTCCAAATGAGATGGGGGGGGGGAATTCTTGCTCCAGGCTACTTTAAAATGCTTTAAAGCCCCGTTCAGCTCCAGCAATGCTTCCTGGAACTTCTTCTTGTAAGCACTGAGCTCCTTGGCTTTTATTTTGAAATCCAGCATTCTTGGATTTCAAGAGTACAGCTGGAAAAGCAGCGCTGGATTTTAAAAAGCAAGCAGTTCAGTGCTACAATAAGTGCCAATGAATTAGTCAATTAAATAATTAAACCATAAGTGCTCCTTTATTTTCTGAATGGATTTTATAGGAAGGAGGCTTAATTTACACACGCACACATCACCAGCCATTTCCCACTCGATCTACCTCATTTAGGAAGCATGGAGGACGTAGTCAGCATCAGCAAAACTAACTCAATATCTTCCAAATGGGATAGGTGCAGAGGGGAGGGTGGAGGAGAGAAAGGGATTCTTGCTCCAGGCTTAAAGCCCAGCAGCTCCAGCAGCATATCTTCAGCCTCATCAGAGGCGAGTGGCCTGGAAAGGGCCAGCCAGGGGCATGATTTGCCAGTTCTCTGAACTGGGCAGAATCTGAACATTCGGTTCTATAGAACTGGTGGGAACCGGTAGAATTCCACCCCTGCAGTTGTTGTGCTCAGACCCATGTATTTGGGGTTAACCATATTTACAATTTACAAATTGTTTTTAAAGGCTGTTCTTACATATAACTCATTGTGATATGCTGAACTGATTTAATATTTTTAAAATTAGGCAAAGAAGTTATGATTCAAAATAAGCCAGGTTTGTCATTATTGACATGTTCAATTTGAAATGGATTAAAACAAAATTATGTTATCCATCCAATTGCAATACATTACTCCCAAAGGTAGTTTACTTGTCCTCAAAGGATAAACTCTATCGCCTTTCTATTTTTAACATTACCGGGTACCCTAACACAGATCAACCCAATGTTTATACGACATTCACAAATGAGTGTCTACCTTTCTTTTCCCTTAGCACAGATTAAATTCTAATAATTAATAATTATCCAGCTTCCTTCTTCATGGCACATTTCTCATCATTTCAGGTTTGAAATCATGTATTCCTGTTGGAGGGCAGATCCTGTGGATCGACCAACCTTCTCAGAACTTAAGCTTCACCTGGAGAAAATATTGGAAAGCTTACCTGCTCTGAGTGAACCAAGCAGTGTAATTTATATTAACACAAACTTGCAGGAAGAGAATGCAAAAGAGCTAATGGAAGATGACGAGTTTCCTCAAATAGACACAGTCCTTGATCCAAATGAAATCATACAAGCTTGTTCCCAGAGTCCAGAGCCTACAGTAGTCACTGTGGATATCCACGAAAGCAGTGGAACAGGGTATAGATACATTTTAAGTGGAGTCAATGATGAGCACCAGGCCAGTCTGGTAAGAACAGAGGAGGAAAATATGTCATTGCTTCAGCCCACTCACTTGCAGAATGGAAGGCAATGGTCTCAAGCCAGCACACTCCCTGTAGGAAGTGCATTGGCTAATGAACTGCTCTTTGCAGATGATTCTTTGGAGGAGTCTGAAATTCTACTATGAAGAAAAACTAGCATTCTCTAATGAACTGCAGATCAGAGACCCTTCTGAGCTAGAAGTGCTCTGGATAGCATTGGACGTTCTCATCACGGAAAGCCATTCCTGTGTAGCATGGTCTCTACTCTTTGTGTAGCGGATAACTTTAGAAGAAACGTTTGTATCTTTATAGAAATTATATTTTAATAAACAAATGTGGTAATGGCCTGTTTTTATTTTGAACACAAGTTTAATATTTTTGATCTCTTTCCTGTAACAGGTTCTGTCATGGATGGTTTGTCAATAGATGATCATCTGACTCCTTCACAACTTCTATATTACAGTAGATATTGACACAGACACAAACACATATACGATACATACATACACACAATTTCTGACCATTTTTTTTCATTGAAAAATATGTCCATTCTCTTTTTGCCAGCACTTTACACAATAGATACACCATGCACACACACACAATTTCCTTCTGAAAACCCCTTCCAGAACTGCCAAGTCTGCACTCTTAATGCCTAGCGGAGAAGGCTTAGATGTCATTTGAAAGAAAGGAGCTTTCTGACTGTGGGTCAGGAACTGAGAGAACAGTTCAGAGGGAGGATTGAATGTGATCTATTTGTGCTGCCACCTATTTCTGAATCTGTACACAATGCAAATTTTTAAAAAGTATGGTATCTAGTTTGACCCTCAATTCCTGCTACTTGGAAAAGGCAAGGAATATATTTTATTATAAACATATTTCTGAGCTCACATCATATTCTATTTTGCATTTTTTCCTAAATATCTGGCCTACCCTTCTAGTAGAAAATTCGGTATTTTGCACCATCCTGAAATGGAACTATTTCTAACACCAAGAATAGAGCAGCACTTTATCTTCTCAGTTAAATTAAAAATCGTAAAAATAAAGTCATGTTAAATATTTTACCAGCCTTTCCGACAGCTTTCCTGTGAAAGTTGGTATTCATCAAGGTTCAACATTATCACCATTGCTGTTCATTCTCATCATGAATACTATCACAAAAGAACCACAATGTGCCATCCCCTGGACCTTGCAATATGTGCAGAAATGGGAACAACTGCCTTAGCCTATTTGGCCTATGCCTCAACATGAAGAAGACTCAACAGAGAGCAGCCCGAGCATTTCCACTATACAAGTCAGCAGTGAAGATCTAGTGAAGACCAACACCGTCAATTACTTAGGATCTCATCTACCAAGTGATGGCAGCATTAATGACAAAATGCATGCAAGCGTGAAGAAAGCATGGCTACAATGGAAGGAGATCCCTGGAGTGCTCCATGATTGAAACATGCTAATCAAATAATGGTATGCCCAGTTGCTTTATATGGTGCTAGCCAATCACCAATCACCAAATGCATTGAGTGCTCTTTACACATCATGAAGATGTGCATGCTTCACTGGTCATTAGGTGTTCCTTGACTATGTCAGCAATGTCACAGTATACCAGCAAATGGACATTGCACCAATATCAGATAAAATGTGAAAGAAAGACCTATAGTTGTATGGTGATGTCCTATGAGCAACACCCCACACATTTGCCTGCATCACCTTTCACTTTACAGTTGGCAAGTGCCCATGTGGAAAGCCGAAGCAAAGACGGCAAGGCACAATACAGACATGAAAATTGGATGAAAATTGGATCCAGATGCTATGTTTGATCATGCAAGATGGCATTCATTGAATCCAAAAAGTGGACTCTGCACCTAGGAAATAATACTAGGAAGATAATAATAAGTGAGATACACCAATCATTTTCAACTTGGGACTTTAATCTAGCTGAGTAGGCATGACACAAGTGTTAATTGAACAGTTGTGGATTACAATTCCTATCACCATTTGGGAAAAACTAATGTCAAGAAGCAAGAAATTGTTGTGTCACATTCGAATCAGCAAATCAAGTAGCTTTATATAGGGCTTTTGGGGGACGGTCTGGCTTAGTCCCTGCAGTTTTCTTGTCAAATTTTTCAGAAGTGGTTTGGGCCTGAGAGAGGAACTGGGCCAAGGTCAAGCTGGTTTATACCTAAGGCAGGTCTAGAATTCAGTTTCCCAGTTTCTTGCCTGATGCCTTAACCACTACAGCAAACTGGCTCTCTTAGTCTTTCTTGATCTAGGTTGTGAAGAATATTTCTGCAAATTTTAAGAAGATAGTCTGCAGTGTTAAACATTAAAAGGGAATTAAATTAAATTAAATTAAATTAAAAGAGAATTGATAAACCAGGAGAATGACCTGAAAAATGTTTCTTTATTGATCTACAAAAAGTAACGCCCCTTGCAGAAATATGTGATGAGATAAAGAAGAGAAATTGAATCCTTCAACATATTTGATTGAATTACAGAGTTGGAAGTAAAGGAAGGAAGGGTGTGTGTGTGTGTGTGTGTGTGTATTAATATTACCAGGGTTAAAATAAGGTATTTTTTGTTGTCTTGCAAAAAAAAAACCAACCTTTTTTGAACTTTTGGCTAACACCAGAATTGAAAAAAAATGATTTTTTAATGTATTTGCTTATAAGTAATAGATGGCATTTGGTATGAAGAGAATCTGTTTATAACCTTATAGAGGTGAAGAAATATTAAATTTTTATATTGATGTGATTAAGATTGAAAATAATTTCTTAATGTAATTTTCTTTTTTTTTTCATTGTATTCTTTCTTTTTTTCTGCATTTTTTATTCTTTTGTTCCATTCTCTTTTTCTAAGCTTAGTTTGTATAGTTTTTCCTATTGTAATTAAAATTTGTTAATAAAATAAATATATTTAAAAGTTATTAAAATATATAGTACCGGTTGGGTTTTTTGGGATTTAGATTTTGGATTTGGAGTTAGATTTTGGACTAACAATCAGCCTGAAAAAAACACGAGTCAATACCTCCCTGTATTACAATCGCTGCACAAGAAGTGGAGGTTATCCATGACTTTGTGCACCTAGGCTCAACTATCTCCAACACTCTCTCTTTAGACACTGAGCTGAATAGACATATTGGTAAAGCGGCTGCCACATTTTACAGACTTACAAAGATAGTATGGCTTAATAAGAAGCTTAACGGAACATACAAAGATTCAGGTCTATAGAGCCTGTGTCATGAGCACACTCTTGTAGTGCAGCGAGTCTTGGACACTTTATGCATGGCAGGAGAGAAAGTTGAACACCTTTCATATATGCTGTCTCCGATGTATTCTTGGCATCACTTGGCATGACAAAGTTCCAAATAGCGCAGTCTTGGAAGGTGCTAGAATTTCTAGCATGTATATATTATTGAAACAGCAACATCTATGCTGGCTTGGGCATGTCATGAGGATGGCTGATGGGTGGATTCCGAAAGACCTCCTGTATGGAGAATTAGCTCAGGGAAAGCGTTCTAGAGGGAGACCACAGCTGCAATATAAGGATATCTGCAAGAGGGATCTAAAGGTCTTGGGAATGGACATTAACACCTGGGAAACCTTGACCTCTGATCATCCAGCTTGGAGGCTAAAGACGCAAAAACCTTATAAAGGTTTATAAGGCTAAGGTTACCACAATGCTCTTGTATGGAGCAGAAATTTGGGGTCTTTACTCAACCACAGTCCTAGAACAAACACAGTCCCAGCATTTGAGATGTATTTTGGGTGTAGACCCAAGAACATCTGCTGCAGCAGTTAGAGCTGAATTGGGAATTTATACAATTCAGGCATCATCTAAAATTAGAGCTTATAACTACTAGTGCAAAGTTAATGAAATGGAGACTGATAGACTACCCAAATTATGCCTACTAGAGCAAATAAAACTACAATCACAAACCTCCTGGACCATTAAACTAACAAATTTTGTAAAAAACTGTGGTCTTCCTATCTTTTGTGTAACAGGAGAACAATCTAAAAAAAGAGTTGCCCAAAGAATTAAGGATATAGATGCATATAGCTATCCTTAGTAAGGTAGGTAACTTGAAATGGTTGAGTAAATACAAATGTACTTTCCAAGTAGATAGCTACTTCAAATCACAACTCCCAAAACATCTTAGGGAGATATTCACGAGAGCGAGATTTGAACAGCTTGACACAATGGTTAGATACGGGAGATTTCATGCAATACCGTACAATGAGCATCTCTGCATTTGCAGAGTGGCAGAGGTAGAGGACCTGGCTCACATCCTATTTGACTGTTGCCTGTATAAGAGGATGAGAGACAGGTATCTTGGTCTATATATCAGATGAATGACCTATTGGGATACCCATATCAAAATAACTTAACATGTCCAGCCAGAATTTGAAAATAACATTTAAAGTAGCACAGTATTTAAACAAAATGATTCGGTTGAGATCTGCATATGTGGGATTAATTGGGGTAGATTGCAAGGGCAACTCTGAAATATAATGTTATTATATTTTATCTATATCTTAAATTATTGTACATTATTACAATTTTATTTTGGATTGTATTTTATTACTATTTCATCTTAAATCGTATTTTGTCTAGATTCCATTTTAAATTGTATTTTATCAAATTTCAATTTGAATTGCTTGTATTAAATTTTAGTAACAAATTGTTGCTGGAACTTTCCATTTTGATATGGCCCAAGGGCTAATCAATAAAAGACTTATAAAGATAAAGTTCCAAATAGCGCAGTCTTGGAAGGTTTCTAGCATGTATATATTATTTCTAGCATGTATATATTATTGAAACAGCGACGTCTGTGCTGGCTTGGGCATGTCATGAGGATGGGTGATGGGTGGATTCCGAAAGACCTCCTGTATGGAGAATTAGCGCAGGGAAAGCGCCCTAGAGGGAGACCACAGCTGCAATGTAAGGATATCTGCAAGAGGGATCTAAAGGTCTTAGAAATGGACATGAACAGCTGGGAAACCTTGACCTCTGATCGTCCAGCTTGGAGGCTAAAGACGCAGCACGGCCTTCTCCAATTTGAAGAGACACTTGTTCAGCAGGCTGAGGCAAAGAAGCAGTCCTAGAACCAGCAAAATCTGGACAGGGGACAGACTGTATCTGTCCTCAGTGTGGAAGGGATTGCCACTCTCAAATTGGCCTTTTCAGCCACACTAGATGCTGTTTTAGGACCTCTTTTCAGAGCACGATACCAGTCTCTTTTGAGATTGAAGGATACCAAAGAAGATGGGTTGGGTTTTATTTGTAAAACAAATAGGTTGTGAAATAACAGTCAGAGATACACTTTTTCCATAGTCTTTAGTGGGGGGGAAATGAAACACTGTGACTATATATCTTTAGTTTCTTTTCTTACTGTTGGCATGGGGTAAAATAATTTCACAGTAGATGGTGCTAGAGTTAAGGATAAATTCCTACTGCTTGTATTGCATAAGAGAGTACTGTACCTAATCTGACATTTAGAATCTGATTTTGGGGGAATGCTATTGTTTAACAGAAGCAATTTTTTTGTGGGGGGGTTTCTTTTCTAGTCTGCAAAAACATTCCACCATAGTAGAATACAGCAATAAAATCCTCAGGATTGAATATCAATCTGAACAGTTTATTATTTTATCCCTGTGAAATTAGAGCCAGCATGAAGATATATTTTTTTCAGCTAGTTTTCAATAGTTAAGGACAACAGTGGGATCAAAGCCCTGTTCTCTGATGCACAATAAAAAGAGGTGGAGGTTCAATCACATAGTTGTGGTGGACATCTTTACTGTTTTTTTACCAACCTCCTATGAACCCCTTTGTAATTTTGGTTGACTGGTAGAGGGCATGTGGAGAAGGAAAATGGTGATTTCTGGAAATAGGTCTGTAGATGTAATGGGAAATCGGAATAACTTTTAACAACAGGAGGAAGAGCTATAGCTAAGGCAATGCTCAAATGAAAAAAAAAAAATCTGGGGCAGAAATGTAATTTAAGTAAGTGTCTGAGTCACGACCACCTTAGTTTTCACAAAGATACAATAAAGGGAGGAAGGGAAGCACATTCAGACTTGCAAGATTCTGTTACCCTAACATTATAATGAAGAAATATTAGCATTCATAACTCTGGCATCCTAGTCTGGTCTACCTTGAAGCACTGACAAGGGGCCTGAATGCTAAACAGAAGCTGTCACTTATTTCCTTGATAGCCTGCATTGCTTTACTGCATTCTGCATTAGGATCTATTTTTTGTTCAATTGTCTTCTATAGTAGTATGTTCTCAGTTTCTTAGAGCCAATTCCTTGTCATATGAAACTTTCTTTTTATAGTTTTACCAATTGCTGGTCCACATCTACATACAATTCAAAGTGCTGAACAGTATAAGAAGGAACCTAGTTTTCAGATGTCGCCCCACTTTCCAATCTCCCAAGCCATTTGTATATGTGTCCTTATTTTATCCTCCACATCTTTTTGAATTAGATAGAGGTGAGAGAAAGAAATTAAAAAACAAAAAGATTAATGGGCAAGTCAACGTTCAAATAAATTTCAAACGCTTTTATAGCATCTTCTAGAGCAGTGGTCTTCAAACTTGACAGCTTTAAGACTTCAACTCCCAGAATTCCTCCTCCAGTCATGTTAGCTCAGGAATTCTGGGAGTTGAAGTCCACAAGTCTTAAGCTTGCTAAGTTTGAAGACCCTTGTTCTAGAGCAAATAGGTTCTGGAAGGCAGTAGATTTGGGATTGGAAAGGATTCTATGCCTCTTAAATAAAAATCACCAACCCCTTAAGCATGCTTGCATAGAGTTGTTTCCAGTTTTGCTTTGCTTTTTTTTTTTTTAAGCATCAGCAAACTTTTCCTTTGAGCCATTCTGCTGAAATAACAAAAGTCCCACAATTGTACAGTAGCAAACTATTTTGCTAGGCTGTTTGTTATTACTGAGTTCATTATTTAGTATCAAGTAGAAATTAAATGAATATTATGATAAAACCCTGAGTAAAGGGACAAATTTAATGACTGTTTAAGATGCCAGTAACACGGTCATGAGGGACTATTTTATACAATCGTCTAGAGCAGGGGTGTCCAACCTTGGCAACTTTAAGACTTGTGGACTTCAACTCCCAGAATTCCTCAGCCAGCAAAGCTGGCTGAGGAATTCTGGGAGTTGAAGTCCACAAGTCTTAAAGTTGCCAAGGTTGGACACCCCTGCTCTAGAGAAAGGGGAAAAAAAATACCAGGAGAAGGTACAAAAGCTCTTGGATGAAACCAGAAAGAAAGACATGGAACTGCAAAAGACACCCATGCTTCCCCCCCCCCCCATCCCGTCTCCTGGTTGGCCCCAATAAATTATTACAGCGACTCCTTGGGCAAGAGAGGACATGGCCAAAACTCTTTAAGCCATACTATAGTCCCAAGCTGCTGAGTAGCAGGCTGCGCGGGAGATGCGCCCGCTCGCCCTGGCCTGGAGTTGCTGTTGGAGAAAAGAGCAGCCCTTCCAGCAAGCCAGCCCCTTCGAGAGGCAGCGATCGCAGGTATGAACTTTAAAAGGAGGGGGGGAGCGGGAGCAACTCCCCCCTCCCCCGAGGGACCCGTCCTGCAGCCAAGATCGGCGGCAGGAGAGCTCAGCCTCCGCCGCTGGGCTGGGCGAGCGGCAGGTCGTGCGGAGAAGCACTCGCTCACTTCCTCCACTTCGCTGCCCGGCCATCGCAACAGGATAGCAGCGCACAGCCATGATTTTGGCACGGCGATGCAGCCTCAGCAGCCTGGTCCTCGTTTTATGCCTAGCGGCCGGTCAAGAGTTGCAAGCTTCCCAGGTAAGGGCTGTTGGTGAGGAGGGAAGGGGCTCTTCTCTGTCACGCGTCCCTTGTATCCTACTAGGGGTATAGAACGTGATGCCACACTTTGTTTTCTGCATGGAACTGCGAGAGGGGCTTTTTTTCTGTGTATTTTAAAAAAATTCGAACCTGTCTCCTCTTTTACCTGTTCTTTGCCTTTCTGTTTGTTTGTTCGCTTGTTGGTATTTTTTTTTTTTTTTTTTTTTTGGCCAAGGCAATTAGGCAAATGTAAAAAGTGACTGGCTAGGTTACCTTTTAGTACAGCCCCACTTTTTGGTCAAGCGGGGAAGGGAGCCAGATGCTTCCAGACAAGAGGGAGCCCCGACTCAAGCCCCGGGGTTTTTCAACCTTGGTAGCTTAAAGATGTATGGACGTCAAACTCCCAAAATGCCCCAGCCAGCCAATAACAGAATCACAATGTTGGAAGGGACCTTGGAGGTCCTCGAGTCCAACCCCCTGCTCCATCAGACAAATGGTTGTTCAATCTCTTCATAAAAATCTCCAGCGTTGGAGCAACCACAACTTTTGGAGGCAAGTTATTCCACTGATTAATTGTTCACGCTGCCTGGAAATTTCTCCTTAGTTCTTAGATTGGTTCTCTCTCCTTGATTGGTTTCCATCCATTGCTTCATGTTCTGCCTTCAGATGCTTTGGAGAATAGGCTGATCTCTTCTTTATGGCAGCCCTCAAATAACTGCTATCATGTCATCCCTAGTCCTGCTTTTTATTAAACTAGACATACCCAATTCCTGCAACTGTTCTTCGTATGTTTCAGCCTCCAGTCCCCTAATCATCTTTGTTGCTCTTCTCTGCACTCCTTCTAGAGTCTCAACATCTCAATATCATGACGACCAAAACTGGATCCAGTGTTCCCATGTGATCTTATCAAGGCATTATAAAGTGGTACTAATACTTCATGTGATCTTGATTCTATTCTCTGTTAATGCAGCTTGGGTCTACATTGGCTTTTTTGGCAGCTGCATCACACTGCTGGCTCATAATTAAGTGATTATCTACTAGCATTCCAAGATCCCTCTCATAGTTACTACTATCGTACCACCTATTCTATACCTGTGCATTTAATTTTTCTTGCCTAAAGTTACTTTTCTCACCATTGAATTCCATTTTGTTAGATAGGGCCCAGTGTTCAAGTCTGTCAAGATCCTTTTGTATGTTGAGCCTATCTTCTGGAGTGTCATGCCAACTTGGTGTTATCTGCAAATTTGATGAGTTCCCCTTCCCCTCATTGAAATTATTGGTGAACTCCCTGCCTGGGAGACCTATTATAGAGGGACGGCGCTAGTTTGTATAAAGGATTGGATTAAATTGGAAAATAAAAGAGTTTTAACATTAGAAGGTCACGATTTACAAATAGGGTGGCATGCCTTCTTATGGAATCCGAACACTAAAAGTCACACATATTTTCATAGACACACCCTGTGTAAATCTTTGATAAAAATTTGGTCAGGTATTAGGAGAAATCATTATATTAAAATCCCGACAAGGTTATCAACAATGGAGGCAATGTTTCATTCTAATACAATGGATATTAGTAAAAAGCTTAAATATCAACAAATTTTAGATAATGAAGGAAAACTTAAATTGATCCAAGAATTAGAAGCTCAAGGACTATCTATCGACCATTGGTCCTATCTCCAAGTAGCAATGAGATATGACAGGGTTTCAAAAGAATTTGGATTAGAAATGAAAAATACACAATTGGATGAAATAATTCTGGGTCCAGAAAAAACCATGATATCCAAATTATACAATTATCTATTAGAATATGACCTAGCTGAGGAAATTGTGAAAGGACCAATGATAGCATGGACAAAAAAAAATTGGCCATAATATAGATTTAGATGATTAGGAAGAGATTTGGCAAAGGAACCTCACATTAACAAAATCAGTATCCTATAAAGAACATTTATACAAAATGTTATATAGATGGCATCTGGCACCCTCTAGATTGGCAAAAATGTATCTAACAGCAAACCCAGCCTACTGGAAATGTAAGAGAAACCATGATACCTTCTTCCATCTCTGGTGGAAATGTCCAGAAGTTAAAAAATTCTGAATCAAGATTAAGTCATGGATAGAAGAATTAATCCAGGTTGATTGGAGTGGAAACCTGAATTGTTTCTCCTGGGTATAATTAAAGGGGATTATTCACATAAAGTAGGGTATCTGATTATTCACATCTTAACAGCAGCACGAATCTCACTGGCATACTGCTGGAAAACACCTAATTTACCGCCTATATATTTCGTTATTCAGAAAATATCTGAATGTGCCAAAATGGAAAGGCTTACATTTAAATTAAAAGAGAAAGATGATACAGAATATTATCAGATCTGGAATAAATGGTATGAGTGGATAGATCATAAAGAAAAACAATGTATAAAATAAAAAGAAATAAGGACTTTAAGAAATATACTACCATATATAGGTTAAAAGACAGGAAATCATAGAGCACGAGCTTTTATTCCTCTCTCGTTTTGCTTAAGCCAAATAATTGATTTATTTATAAAATTATATAGTTGTAATCCAGGAGTAAGAATAGATTAATACATTATATATATTATTAATATAGGTATTTTACAAGGGATAGAAAGTAATTGCCACTTAATAATCTAGATGGAATATTTAAATCACTGTCAAACTGTAGTAGAAGAAAACATGATTGGTTGCACTATAGAATTTGGTGTGATGTTTGTTTGTACAATTTTGTATTTTTTACCTTTGTATTTGTATATTTTAATCGTTTGTATTAAATAAAGTTTTTTTTTTTAAAAATTAAAAACAATGAAATCATTGGTGAAGATATTTTCATCCCGATGAAGATATTTTTAAGTTCAGAGTGAGGTCCTTTAAGAAAGGCACAAAACAGAAGTGGTAGAAGATGCAATGATAGACTGGCATCTAAAACAGCAAGTCATAAATTTGATCAATAATATTGATACAATCATTTTTATTTTATTAGGGAAAACATGAAAAGTAGCCTTGCCATCACAGATATCTTAGTTCCATGAATACTAGACCAGAGGAAGAAATGTGTGCAGCTCCAGACATGCTGGGTTTACAATTAGTTTCACAGTTAAATTGGTATTATCAGGCAGCTAGTTGCAACAGAAATTGTAGTTTTTGTTAGACTTTGCAGTTCCCTTGTTAGACTAGAAAATAAAATCAAATTTTGCTCACAAATACCTAAACAAATCACTCACGTTACCACATATTTGGTGATTTCAAATCACTTTGCTGGTATACTAAAAACAAGTTATTCAGTATAACAAAGTTTACTGTGTTTCAGTGTATTGCAACAGTTTAAGTTAAACTTAATCCTTTCACAAAAAGATTTTATAACAATAGACAGTGTGACTTCTGCCTTTCTTGGAATCTGCTGCATACCACACACAATAAGCATCTTGGACAGGAAAAAGCTAAGTATTTCCTAAGCCTGGCATAAAATTAAATTCTGCAATTTTAAAAAAGAAAAGTCACATATAATGTCTGACTCCAGCTCCCAATATTAGCAGTGACTTTTGAGTAATGGTAAAACTAATTCACCAAAAAAATATATGTTTTATAGCATCTTTATCTGTCTCTTGCCGCTAAATCACTTTACACAAGTTCATTAATGCCTGGATGCAATTGTGTGCATGTATGAATATATTTGTTGAATGATAAACATGCAAAAATAAATCTATACATTGTTATTGTAGATGGAAAGGGTAGAACTACAGTTAAGATGCAGTTAGGAATATCGGTACAGAGATTATTAGTTGTCATTGCTTTGAGAACAATGCAGCCTCTTAACATGAAAGGGCTTTCTTGGCTGCTTTCTCTGCACATATCTCAAGGCCAAAGTACACAGGAATGAACATCTTGGTCCAGGACAGAAATGAAAAATTGTGCAGTGATAGTAGCTGTTCAGTGCAATTCAGCCTTATGTCCTTGCATTTAATTGGCTGGCCAGTCAATGATGACAAGATTTCTAAAATGTCATTCAAAAAGGCTTCTGCATTTTCCAGCTGATCATTATAACATCCAAAGTAGAAGTCTGCTCATTCCTGTTTCTTCATGAGGCTCTCAGGATTCAGTAGATCGTGATTTTGACCTGAACTATCCAGAAAGTTCAATCAAAGGTTCGGTTTTTGGCTGTCCTACTCCGTTTTTCAGGAGTCAGTTCACTGTCAGCTTCTCCAGCCTGATCTCCGCTGTAGACTGCAACTCCTAGAATTCTCATTTTGCATTTTACTGGCTCTGTGGCAGAAAATTCTGGGATTCATCTCAACACAGCTGGAGAGTGTTGACCAGATTGAGTCAGGCTGCCTTAAGGACAAGACACATGAGGACAAGATAGTTCCAAGGATCTATTATTGTCTGCCTGGGATATTAATGAGTCAAGTGGAAACCTAACAAAACTTCATTTTCTATATATAGAAATGACAGTTGTCTATCCTATTGTTTCTTGCCAGTTTCAGTTAGAACAAATTACATTCTGTTATATAACCCCAGAGAAATTGTGTAGGACAGCGACCCCTAATCTTTTGGACACCAGGGACTGGGGGAACATGGTTTTGCACGCTACCTAGATCCCGCACATGTGTAGATGAAGTTTAATTTGCTTGCATGGCCCAGTTCCTAATGGAACATGGACAAAGGCATTTCAAATGTATATTGGAAATGTGAACAACAAGAAGGGACGTTTTATCATGCTTAATAGACATGTAAACAAGCTAGGAAGTTTTGGATTCAAATATATACTGTATATTAATTTAGAGGATTTTAAAAATTGCTCTACAACTGAGATCAAATGTCTTTCTCTTCAGGCAAATAGTTGGGGGAAAAGTAATGAAACTTTATTTTTGTATATGATAACACCAGCCAGATTATTGAGTGCACAAAGATAGAAAGACCTACTACAGAGGAATGATTGGTGCAGATGATGGAACTTGCTGAGAGGGCCAAAATAATTTCTTTACCAGAGACAAAATCTATGTTTATTGATGACTGGAAACTCCTTATGCATAGAAGATAAAACATTCTTATGATTTATGGTTTTGATAATTAGACAGGACAGAATATGGAAAGAAGAGAGTCAGGAATTTTAGAGAAAGAAGTAAGTTTATAATTCTGTTTATAGCAGCTGTGAAGAAGATTGGAAGCTACTTCTTTGTGTCCTTTTTCTTTATTTTTCTTTTTTTTTTAATTTCATTCTTGCACTTGCAAGTTTTCTATTTTATTTTATTTTTGCTTATTTTATGTTAGTGGTTTTAATCTTTGTTTTAAATTTTTTTTAGTAAAATTATTTTTGTAAAATTACATTCTATTCTATTATGTAGCAGTGATAAACAAAACATCATAAAACATTTGTGTCTACAGCAGTATTCTTTTGACACAATGAATATCTGACACATTGGTGAGTACACTGTTTTGTGTGTGTTCATTAAGAAATGCCCAATATTACTTTTTCAGGCTAATATATGATTTTCCTAGAATGGTATTGGCAACTTGTTCTACTTGCAAGAAATTAAAAGGCTACTTTTTGTCTCTTTAAGGAAATGCAGGATATAAATAATCTAGAGAAAACATTAGAATACATCATTTTCCATATCTGTCGAATGTTATGGTTTGCAAATGTGACATTTTTACATGCATCAATCTGTGATTTTTTCTTTCCCCCACCCCCATAGAACTGCATGACAAAACATCAAGTTCTGGCTACCATCCGCCAAATGCAGCAGTTTCTCAAAGGCCAGGAAACACGGTTTGTTGAAGGACTACGCATCATGAAACACCGACTCACAAATCTGCAGAACACTGTGACTAAAGCTATCCCAGACCTACAAACTGGTAAAAAGAATACAGAGCTTCAGAGGATGGGGGCAGGAACTTTGTTCAGATTGAGCTCATGGACCAAAATGAAATTATAGGATAAGGAAGGACACTCTTGGCATCCTACATCTATGACTCATGCTTTCCTAAAGCAGCTACCTCACACTTTGGCTGGCCACACAAAACACAAAAACATAGTTAGCTAATGTGTAGGTTGGTGTGGAAAATCAGACAATGGGGTTTGTTTATGATTCAGCAGGTTGCATAATTCAAGGCAAATTAATTCTGGATTAGTATAGGATATAATTACAACTTTCTACTTTTTGTAATAATAGTGCAGAAAACAGTGCCCAGTCCTCTACTCAGACTTTTGGCTGTGCTGTGCTGGCTAGGAACTATAGTTAAAATTGTCTGAAAGGTATCAGATTGAACAGTGCTGAATTATGATCACTTTGGATTTGCTGTCAAAATCTTCTGTGTGAGATCTCTACATGCTGTCATGGTTCCAAGTAATGATCTCAATCAGTTCAAGACTCTGAGGCTGTAGCTTTCCTCAAAGATCCCCTTTATTGGGTACATCATATCAGCACGTTCAGGTGTGAATCCAACTCTAAATATCTCCTGCTGTTTGGTATAATTAAAAGAATAGATATTCCCCACCCCCACCCCAGTGTCACAGTTCATGTTGACCAACCAGGTAAGCAGCAGGCTTCTCAGCTGCTCCCTCTGGCTGTAACGAGCTCTCATTGAGATGACCTTGGTTCCCATGAGCCCTATCACTGTTATGTCTGGCACATTAGAAGAAAACATTCCATACTCCATTGGTCCCCCCTCCCCCCATACGTATGGCAACTAAGAAACAAAGAAAAAGATAATATAGTTTCAGCTAAAGTCATTTCCAGAGTTGACACATGCATGGAAACATATTACAAAAGAAACAAGGGACCTAAATAATTAATCAAAAGAATTTGAGGTACAGCAAGACTTATAATCCCTTCACTCTTGACAAGTGAGACTACCCTCCTGCTTTACTGCAAGATTTGCTCATCCATACAGATAGGTAGCAATAGGAGGAGAAAATCATTTTGCTTCCTCAAACAATATTGATCTAGCCAGAGATATCTCAGAACATTCTTCAAAGGCAATTCTCAGTCAAATGAGATTATACAAAGCCACATTCTTCTGAAAACACCCCCCCACCCCATCACCCACAAATCCATTCCTGACCAAGTAGCATACTACTGGAACCCCTCACAGAGCATGCAAAATGAACCTATTCAGTGGTACAGTTCCACAATTAAAATAATTGACCAACTAGTAGCTATTCACCAGCCATTCCTTTTTAAGCCAGTCATTTTATCCTTCAGTGTAGGGCGATAGTGCCAGATGCCTTTGGCCATTGTCAGGAGCATAGGATTCTCATTGAACTTCCAGTGGAATCTTTAAAGCAGCAGACCAAGATCTGAGAAAACCTTTGTCTCTAGCCACACACAATAGTTATATTCCTGGTTAATTGAACCACGATTTTTTTCCAGATTTCTTCAATGTCCAATGAGGATAACCTATATAGATTTGTAATGTATGATATCAACTCCAAATATTCCCTGGGCAGCACAGTCATTCAGGAAGGTAACAGATTGGAAGGGCGCTCAGAGTGGAGACAATATATTTATTGAATTAACCCAATGGTATATGCAAAACACTGAACCACCACAGACAAATCACTTGACCCGAGTTCACGCAACACACTGGGCTAAAATGTGAGCTAACTATGATGTTTGGAAATCATGAGTTGAATGTTTCTGGGGGATGCATGATTTAATGATCTGTTCATAATTAAATTATGCAAAGTTTTAATGATAATATTTTAAAAATATTTTAATGATATTTTGAGTATTCCTAAATTAATCAATTTACAGTAAATGAATTTGAGATTAGAAAGGCATGGTATGACTTGTGAGAAAGGTGATGTTTGAGTTGCATTTTAAGATTACTAAATCTCATGTACACACAGATCTCATGTGGTTAGAGATCTCTGAATGTTTGTCTTATTCTTTCTGAGACCTACTAACTTTCTCTGTCTTCTGTCAAACTCTGCTTGCAGTGTTCTGTCCTAAATTGGAAGCTCCAGCAAATGGCAAAAAATTTGGCACAAAAAATTTGGTGGATCATGAAGTCCATTTCACCTGTGATCCTGGATTTCAGCTTGTTGGTTCCAATTCTCGAATGTGTCAGCCAAATGGCAGCTGGACTGGAGAAGTTGCACACTGCAAAGGTATTGCCTTTCTATTTCTTGGCTGGGGCACAGACACCTCCCATCTATTTGTCAGAACAAATTTCTCTATGCGTAGCTAGAAGAATGCCATTGTAGCAATCATACCTATATAAAAAGTTGACCTAGGGCAGGGGTGTCAAACTCGTGTCATCGCAGCATCAACATCTGACATATCATGACTTTTTTCCCCTTCACTAAAGCAGGCATGGGCGTGGCCAGCGCATGACGCATACGGCCCATGGGCCACGAGTTTGACAGCCCTGACGTAGAGGAATATCCTAAATGGAGATAAATCAAGATAATATTCAAACTGCATACACACAACTGATGCAACACTTTACATGTTCTCCTTATGTTAATAGTAGCCTGGTAGAGGGTGGTGGGAACCTGATCTGCAGCTTTAGTAGGATATTAGAGAACAGGAGGGAGAAATTAAACTTATTTTAATTTCAGAATAAGGAATAGCTTAATGACATCATTGGAAGCATCCCGAGAAAGCTGATCCAATAGCATAAATTACAATGAACTATTCCATATATTCCCCTGGGTAGTTCTATTAGTTTATTCTTTAATTTTGGCAACACTGTTCACCTTTAACCATTGTTTCCCCCCAGATCCTATATCCAATCAACTGGGAGAACATCCATATACTATTTCACCCAATGATGGGTTTCAAATTTTTTTTACTATCGGTTCTGTGGGTGTGGCTTGGTGGGTGTGGCAGGGGAAGGATACTGTAAAATCCCCAGTCAGAGGTGGTATTCACAGGTTCTCCGAACTACTCAACATTTCCGCTACCGGTTCTCCAGAACTGGTCAGAACCTGCTGAATACCACCTCTGATTTCACCCTAACTTGTGTTATTCAAACATGAGAGGGTGTAATTTATACAAGTATAAATCTGTTTCATCTCAAGATGGCAAGAAATGAGTGAAAAAAGACATTTGCTAAATAAGGCTATTATAACTGTTAATAGGTGCTTTTGCCAGTCTAACCTAATATCAGACATAAGTGTATTGCTAATTACATCTTGGGATACCACTTATTTAAATAAATTAGCATTACATAAACTCTAGAGCCACAATTATGAAACTCCCGATAGCAATTCCTCATTAATTTAATGTTATGTTTATACTTAAAACCTACAATTCTGCTTCTGGTCTTTCCCTTATGTAGTTAAGGGGAATAAAATGCTATAAGCTTTGGTTTCTAGATGCTTTCTTCTTTCTTTCCTTGCTCTTTAGCTTTTGACAAATGTCTATTATCCAGATGCAGTTTTTTCCCTTTCTTTTGTTTCCAAGCCAGAAAAAAAAAATCATAATTTATTAAATTACTGTCTGTCAGACTGCCATTAAAATGCAGATGTTAAAAAAGGGAAACTGGATTTTCAGACTGGTATTAAAATGTTATTTGAAACCCCTGGAATCTGGTGGGGTTTTAAAAAATCAAATCTTTTCAGATTTGCGCAAAAATCAAATAAAGTTTCACAACAAAAATGAAACATTCTAAGTAAGACAAGTAAAATCATTAAAAAAAAAAAGAGGAAAGAGTACCGGGGCATTTTTTACAGATACATAATAGAAAGGAAGACAGAGTAAGAATATAATTGTCAAAAATCTTCTGAACTGTTGCTCACCTGCCTTTGTGTTGGAGCTACAGAATCTCAAGCATCTTTGCATAATTTTCTTCCAATGTTCCATTGGGTTGGAATAATATAGATAGACTTTGCTATTATTGGAATTTTTTCCCTTCCTGTCAGCTTAGGAAAGGTTTTGCTCCTCTATCTTAAAATGACATCACCTCTGAACAAAACAGAGGAATTTGGAGAATTCTGAGATTTTGGAAAAATTGTGGGCTGTCAGACTCCTGAACGGAAAATAGCTACATGTCAACATAGTATGATAGATTTGCGGGGCCAGCATGCTGTGCAACAAGTTCACATGGTGCAATAAGATTGTGTGTTTGTACACATTTTAAAAACAGAGGAAAAATATTTAGACTGCTCCAAATTAGAGACAGTGTTTATGGCTTCTGTAGATAATGAAAAAAAAGAATGGAACATCAGTTTACATTAAAGAAGAGATAAAAGCAAAATTAACATTTGCTGATCCCAAAGGAAGAGTTCTGGCAATAGAAATACAGATAAACTTCAAAAAAATTCTATTGGTGGTAATTTACGCCCCTAGTGCCAATCAAAAGGAATTCTATAAAGCTCTATATGCTAAAATCATTGAACTGGAAAGGAAAACTATTTGTATTATAGGAGACTTTAACACGGTAGCAGATTATCAAAAAGACTATAATGGAGAAACAAGGGAAGGGAAAAAAAGAAAAGAACTACCTAAAATATGTGCAGAAATGATTAAAGAATTAAATTTAATAGACGTGTGGAGAAAATTAAACCAGATAAGAGACAATTTACCTTCTACTCAATAATTATAATTATAATAAGCTATTACAACAAACAAAAAAAGACTTAGAATTATGGACGAAAATGCAATTGTCATTGCTAGGAAGAATAGCAGCCATAAAAATGTCTGTATTACCAAAATTTCTATACCTATTCCAAACCATTCCAGTTAAACTAGAAAGGACCTTTTTTTTGATAATCTTAATAAAATGACATCAAAATTTATTTGGCAGGGTAAAAAACCCAGAATAAAAATGAAACTACTACAGCACACAGGATCCACCAAACAAAAATATTTCCACAGACATCTGATCAGAGATTCGCTGATATACAATTGGATCAAAGTTAAAAAGAAACACTATATAAAAATCCCAATCTGGCTATCCACAATGGAAGCAATGACCTACCCAAATAATTTAGACCTGAACAAAATGTTAAAGTATAAAGACTTATTGGATATTCACGGAAATTTAAAATCAATACAGGAGCTCCAAGAACAAGAGCTACGGGTAGACTGGTGGGCTTATTTCCAAATACAAAGCTGATATAAAAAGGACGTAAAGGAGTACAGAATATACCTGAAACCACAACAATTAGACAAAATTTTATTAAGCCCAGATAAAAAAAAATTACCAAAATTTACAAATATCTCCTGGAAGTAGAATTAGAAGAAGTAGTAGTGAAAGGATGTATGATCACATGGGATCAAAATATTGGTCACAACATTAAGTTATCAGACTGGGAGACTGTATGGAATAGAAATCACAAATTAACAAAATCAGTAGCATACAAAGAAAATGCATATAAAATTTGATTGATATCAAAATTTTTAGAAAAAATCCAGAAGGAAAGGTACAGGTTTGTTTGGTTGTCTGCTTTATTTCTCTGAAACAAGTTTACGTCTCAGATGAAAAGACTTTTTAAGTGCAAATTGTACATGATCAGAAAAATAGGCTCTGTCTACCCACCTCAAAGAATTAAAACTAAAAAAAGAGGGGAAGGAATGGGGGGAAAACCATGACAAGCATCCATTTTTTTAAGTTATTTTTTTTAATAATGACCATGGGAACTGAAATTGTTTTCAGACAAGAAAGAAGGAAGAGCCAGATGCAGCCATTTTTTTTTAGACAGAATGATCCTGCTTAGGGTCCCCACCCAAAGTTAATCCACATATCTTTCTTGGCACTTCCAGTTGTCACAGTATGCTATTGGACTGCCCCCTCCCCCAAATGCTGGAAAAGAATGACTGGAATCTCAAACAGGAGTTGAGCTAGAAAGGCATTTCCCAATGCCGAGTTTTGATAAAGTCCCTCTTCTGTCCTTTTGAGATTCAGTCTTTCCTTCCTTTCATCTCAAGCACTATCCTAGTGTAAAGGGCGTGTCAGGTTAAGGATGGGTGAGATGAACTTCCATTTATATCCATACATGTGCCCAATATGATGGAAGAGGAGGAGGAATTAGCTTGCCTTTTTTGTTGTTGTTGTTTTGCTCTATATTTTGTTTAAATTTTCACACGCTCCTTCTTAGTGAGATTAAATTTTTCAGGCCCCTGCACACAGTCTGCCTAGCCCCGGCTATTTGTTTAAAGGAATTCCTTTCTCATTGTGCAAAATGCTAATGCACCATTGAACCTGTGCCTAAGCTACTGTGAGAAGGCTGCTTGCACAGCCCTCCATTGTGACTGAAGATATGGAAATGTTGCCTTTAAACAGATGTGACCCACAGCGTTAGCTCCTTATTTCTATTCAGAAACTAGGAACAAATGAAGACAGCACTCCATATAATCTACGTAGATTTTTTTGTTGTTGTTGCACAGTGACTCTTGGGTTATGCAAAAAGGAGTTGGTGGCTGCTTTGTGGGCAAGAAATTTTGCTTTTGAAACCACCTTAAAGCATTTTTTATACTGCAGCCTTCAGTACCTGCTTGCTTCCCCAGGGAGCCAGATGAGAAGTTCAGCTCATTGGAAGTTTCAACGGTGTGTGTGAAACAAGAGGGGGTTAGTTAAACCTCTTGAGAGTGATTATTCAATAACTTCATGGTTTGAAGACCTCTGATTATTTAGAATATTCTAATAATAATAGTTGGGCGTTTAGCAGATGCATAGCTACAGCCATCCTACAAAGGCCTATTTCCTCAAGAAATTCCACACCACACTCATTATTTCAATACATAACAAACTCAGGAAAGGTGAAAGGAATGGAGGAGCTGTCTGGCTTGCTCTTTCTTGCTCTTTCTCTCTTTCAGAGAAAGGAATTCAGTGGGTCTTTGCTCCTTCTTGTAAGATAGTGCCTTCAAAAACTAAATGCAGGCTTTTTCCTGCAATTATAGAAGAAAATGAGGGATCACACCAGCAGTTGTGCTATGGTTCTTTCAATGGTATTTTTTTTTTTTAGAAAAATACCACTATTGTGGAGATGGTCTTTTGATCCCACTTTCAATCTCAAGACATAGGTTGAGGTTTCCACTTTGACTGTTGCCAGCAGGACATGATTTTGGGTTTAGATGCCAAGGCCAAGGGGCTGTCTTAGCAGAATGAGCTGGAGATTCCCTCTCTTCCATGTAACAGAATTAGCCTTGGTGATTTTGAGGTAAAGTCATAAATATTGCCATTCAAAGCACAGAAACCTCTGTGAGTCTTTGAAGTTCAAGATCCAGAATGATTCCCTCAGTGAAGAGAAAAGATACCCATGCTAGAGTTGATGGAACACTCACTCTGTTGAAGACGGTAAGAAGTTCCTAAAACTACAACTCACTCCTTCACGCCTTTTATGAATTTGTTCAAATGCACATGTGTAAAAACCAATAGAGGGACTACATTATCTCTTCATATCAAGTGATTTTGCTTGTCATCCAAGGACAAGTGATTGTTTTCTGTAGCAAAATTTTATATGCTTACACAATGCAGCTTGTGAGCTGAAAGAAGCAAACTTTCTAAGTATGTAATTTCTTTCTTTAACCAGATATTAGTCTGTGCACAAATCACCAGTGCCGGAATGGAGGAACATGTACAGAGACAGGTGACCAGGTTCAATGCATTTGTTCACAGGGATGGACCGGCCCCAATTGCCAGTATCAAACGCAGACAGGTTTGTATTTTGCTGAGGGTGGGGGGGTGGGGGTTAAATATGGTGGAATTGAAATGTTTCACTCCTCCTTTCTTTTATGCATCAAGGCAAGATGGTTAGCTCAAGTCGTAATTACCTGTTTAAATTAGGGTTTGCTGTAAACTGTATACTTGCAATTTCCTCCAGTTTTGCAAAAAGCAGAAGAAAATCTGAATGTATTTTAGAAGAGGAAAAAACACTTTTTGCATAAATATGAAAACTATTATAAGGAAAAGAAAAGAGAAATTGTATAAATAGAGATTATGTCAAGAGGAGGAACAATTTTTGTTACATTAATATCCTGTATTTCCTCAAGAGCTGGATATAGAGTTTTGTTCTTGAGATTTTCTCTACAAGAAGATAGAAAATGACTGGACCAATTTCCCCCAGCAAGCTTTTACCCTGGTCTCCCCAATATTAGTCCAACACCTTAACTCCACGCTGGACCTGATTCTTAGGTTTTTCTTTTTTTTAATTAATTTTTATTGAAGAATTTTACACAATAAGAAAAACAGTTTTAAGACAGAGAAAAAATAGTGAATAAAGGGAAAAGAAAAAGAAAAAAAAATGTTTTTAGCAAAAAGTATATAAAACGAGAGCAAACCCCACTTTCACTGATGATGTTACTTAGTTTGGTAATAAAATGTCTTCAAGAAAACCAAGTTCAGAGAACACCAAGGACACCACAGGTCAACCCTGAGCTACAAATATTTTCTTCTATCGGTAATTTCTTCCTACTCATTTTTCAGTACCTCCAGCATGGAGCATAACAAATGACCCAGCTTTCAGTCGCAAGCCGCGCTGTGCCCAATTAGATCGAATGCAACACTGCAGCTGTGAAGCGGGCTTCCATATGAGTGGCACCACAGAAAACAGTATTTGCCAGGGTAAGAGATCATTTGAATGATACACCTGAACAGAAAAGTTGATGAGCTGTTCCTGCTTCCAGATCAGTTTAATCCCAGTTTCAACATCAAAGTCTACTATTGGTAGTACTAGTATTTTATCTCTATTTCACACCTTGGGTTAGTCCTGACCAGGAAACCAACATCATTACAGCCACAACATGTCATTTGGATTGTTAACATCTGGTTGCTTTTACAATTTCCATCTACTCAGTTTTGCTCCAATTTTTAAAAGCAATAGCTAATGATTAAATCATGGTTACAGTTATCTCTCCTCCCTCTCCCATACATACATATCACAATCCATGCTGTACATGTATTTAAAACAATATACTGTAAATTGCAGTATCTTTGATATCAGTCACACTTATATTCCAGGAACATTTCTCACTCTCTTTGCTTGCTCAGCCACATTGTGATGCATTTTGTTCCTGCAGGAATGTCATGTCAGTTTCTTTCCTGGCAGATGTGAATGAATGTGAAATTTACAAGCTGGAGGGAGTTCCTCGTCTGTGTATGCACGCTTGCATCAACACTCCTGGCTCGTACCACTGCTCCTGCCCCCCTGGATACAAGCTCTTCAATGATGGGAAAAATTGTGAAGGTGACATAGAGATTTCCTTTTTACTAAACATGGAACAGATGGCATTTTATAGAACTACATAACTTTCCTCCCCAAACGCAGGCTTCGGAGCATGTCATGCCGCAAACATGAAACGAGTGTGTTAGAATTTGCATCCATAGCTCATCATTATTGCTTTCTTTTGCTTTGGCGTAAAACCTGTTTACTACTGGCCTAATTATCCTTTATAGTTTAACGTTTCATAGGACCCGAGCTAATATAGGTAATCTTTGACTCGTGACCCCAGTTGAACCCCAAATTTTCCATTACTAAGCAAAGCAGTCGTGAAAGTGACTTTTGCCCCATTTTACGACCTTCTTGGCCGCAGTTGTTAAGCAAATCACTGCAGTTGTTAAGTGAATCTAGCTTTCCCTCATTTTGTAGGCCATTTTTGTAGGCAGCCTGATATACCTCATCCCTTTTAATAAAAATAATTTCCTCTACTCTTTATGGGCCCACTGCCATCTCTGTGTCCTTCCCATATCTTGAATGTCAGTGATGACATTTTGCAGTCCTGACGTATATGTAATACTGAACAGGTATGATTGCAATGCCAGATACCACCTGGTTAACTGGGAATTTGTATCATCTGCAGGTTGGTGGTTGGTGGTCAGTTATCACAGTGAATTTCCAATCCCAGATACACATACGTGGAGCACTGATTGCCCATTTCAGTGCACAAGCTTTATTTTCAATGCTGCTACAATTTTGTTCCCTTGGGAGGAGTTTCTTTGTGAGGTGTGTCACTAGGTGATCCATCCCTTCATGGTTTCAAATAAGCACTGTGCCTAGGTTAGCTGCATCTATGGTTGGGAGAAATCTGGCCCTTTTAACATTGGCTTACTACATAATGCATCTTTTATTTTCTTAACTGCCTCCTGGCATTCTTAAGACCATTCTACCTTGGAGGGTTCTGTTTTTCTCATTAGGTTGGTTAGGGGTCAAGCAGAAGCAGAAAAATGAGAGATAAATCTTGGTAATATCCCACCAAATCCAGGAAAGATTAAACATCTTTCTTTGCTTTGGAGGCTTCTATCTGTTTCAAGATTTTCATCTTTTCCTTTTCAGTATTTTTCTTCCTTATCAACCATTGTATCTGGTTTCCTGATATCCCAGACCAAAATGGCATATTTTTAAACTGAACAAGACCCTGCAGAGTAGCAAACTGCCTTCTCTTTGGAGTGCTGATCCAGTGGAATTTGTCAATATCCTTTGGTTAAAACCAGAGAGGACAAATACTTGGCCCCACCCAGGCCATCCAACAACTCATCCATTCTTGGCATTAAGTACCCATCAAAGTTTATTTTCCTAAAGTCTACACAAAACTATATGTCCCTATTTGGCTTTGGGATCAATGACAATACCAGTTGCTTAGATGGTTCTGTTATGTGCATCTGGAGTATCTTTTCTATTTCATTGTGTAATATACCTTTCAACTGTTCAGGAATTCTATAGGGACATTGTAATGTTTCACCTGCTTTATGTCTAACTAAGATAGTTATACTCAGTTGCATGGTAAACATACATTTACACCCTTCTAATGTTTTTTAAAATCTTTTTTGAGTATCCCCTAGATCCAACTGGATATGTATATTTATATGAGACGGTTGCAGTATTGCAGCCTAAACTTGATCCAAACAATTCTGGGTGCCTTTTCTTTAGCACCAGAAAAGCTATTTCAGATTCAACTGTTTTGTGCAATTTGTGAGGAGGTTGTGGCATGGTACATTCTGTTTTTCTTGTCTTCCAATTCTGTGTCATAATTTAATGATTCTGTTCCTTTTTTTTATTATGTAGTTACTCTGCCACTTAGCCTGTAGTGTGCTTTAATAGGCAGTAGTAACAGGACTTGGTCTCCTATGTTAATCACTTCACCATTAAACCTTTATCGTAATGTCTTTTTGGCTTTCTTTGGCTGTTATCTAAATGTTCTTGGGCAATGTGTCCTTTAACTTATTCCTCTGCATTAGGATATATTCAATTAGATTTTTATGATACCTAGAAAATATCTAGAAACATGAGCTTATCCCTGTACAGTAACTGTTCTTTTTCTTGGAATCTGGGTGTGGTTTCCTTGTTTTCCTCCTCTTCTGCTGTTAACCAACAATGTTTTAATATTGTAACTATCTTTTGCAAGGGTCCTAAGTGAATTTCCCATTTAGGGGTCTCTCTTATCCCTATGGGTTCACCCTTGTTTTGTCAGCTTTTTGTAAAGCTTTCTCTTTCCTAGGATATCTCACTTCTATTAATTCAGTATGGCTAGGAAGAATCCCAAATTCCTTCCCTTCTTGCTTTTGCTCCATTCTCATCTTTGCCTTGGACTGGGTCCTTGTAGTTACTCCCAATATCTTAGCCTTCTTCTTGAACCCTTTTCTCTGAGTGCAACCTTAAGTGGAAAATCAGTTCCAGTCACTAGGTTTCACAGATAACTCCTACCATCTTTACATGGTCCTTTCCCTGTGGCCTGTTCTTTGGCTTTAACTAATGTGATCATCTCAGTTTGCCCAAACTCCATTGTAAGAGGCTTTTTCCCCAGAGATGCTGCTCAATGATTTAGCAATGTTCATCTACTCCACAGTATCTACTAAGCCTCTCACAGTAAATCTATTAACTTTTGCTGGGACCTTCTTAGTTCTTCCCAGTGATGTTTGCATTACTGCAGCCATTCCATTTTTCCCTGGCTTTCTTTTATAGTCTTTGGACAAATAGCCACTTTTCCCACAGTTGTAACCATTACTGGTCTCTCTAACCTCCCAAGGCCTTCCTGTAAGTTGGGTAGAAGCTAAAGGCTTCTTTACTCCTACCTTTCCGTCTACCAGCTCCTTAAAGTTCTTAAATTCTAGAACAGCCTTTCTTATTCTCCTCTCTCCTGCATTTTCCCTTTCAATATCTCTGACTTTTGTGCTACCTATAGTTCTAAGATAGTCCAATTGCCTTTTCATTAATATGATATAAAGTACTTGTAGAAAGTGTTCTAAAATTAATTCCTCTACCACTCTTTCCTTGCTTACTTTATCTGGCCTCCACCATTTCCTGCTAGGTCTTGCCCACAATTCATGAACCCCTTCATGCTTGTCTTAGGTGCAATTTCTAAGCTCCACCTATAGGGAGTGACATCGTATCTGTATAGGATTATCCCTTTGACATGAGAGTAATCCACTACTTCTCTTGCTGGAAGACTACTATAAGGTTGTCAAAGCCTTTCCCTGTTAAACATGGGGCTGGTCACTCATTCACTTTCAGACCACTTAAAGAGGTAGCCACTCTTTCAAACATGGCTAAATAGACTTCTATGTGTTCTTCCTCTGTCAACTTGAGGATTTTAATGTCTTTGAGACCACCTCCACTCTCTATAGACTTTATATGCTTTAGAACTGAGTGTGCCTCTTCTAGTGACTGTATCCCTTTAAGCAGGTCTATCAGCCTCTTAATCTCTCTTTTCTTGCCTCTCTTCCACTCCCTTCCCATTCCAGTCCACCTTTCCTTTCTTTCTCCCTCTAAAGCATCTCCTTTTTAAATGAATCCCAGCCTTTCCTTATCAGTTGGCCCTAGTATCTCTGGCCAGTCCCATTTCAGGCTGGTCTACCATTTGCTTTGGCTTTACAACAGGTCTAGAGTGGATACCTGTCTCTGCCAAAGTAGTAGCTTCTAAGGGAGAATCTGTCCTTTCTGTCTTTTCCATGCTTATTTGGTATAGGCTCTGGTAAGAAGAGGCTTGGTTTCTGCAGTCAGGGTGTTGGTTAATTCTTGCAAAGTTTGAGCAGAGGAAGGGCCAATACTTTTACCTTTGCAGCCTCCTTTTTAGCCAAAGTTTATTTTTTTCATGGAAGTGTTTAGAACCCCTAGAGTCTAAGCCACCTCCACTTGTGGGCTTACCACCTTGTGTTAATATCCCACTTTTTATGAATATCCTACCTTTCTTATGGATATCCCATTGCTACAACCCACATTATCACAGGTTCTTTTACCTATACCCAAGTTAGTGGGCTCCAAAATCCAAGAGACAATACAGCCACACAGGCACCTGGTAACACACACAAGTATTCAAAGTCTAGTTCTCAGTGCTCACTGCTCCACTCTCTCCCCTTCTACTACACCTCCTCCTACCATTCCAGTTACTACCCCAAGTCCCATTGCTGGAGAGAAGTAGCCTTTTCTATCTGTGTTGCTTCACAAACAAACATCTCCTTCCCTCTCTCCCAAATACTGGGAACTGCCTCTGCTCAGCTTTTATAATCAGCAGTTGCTGAGCTGGAAGAGGGCTTAAAGAGACAGGGCTACAGCAGCACAGCTTCTGGCCATTTTGTAGGCAGCCTGTTGTCTCACAATGTTGATGTCCAAGTGGGATATAAACCGTATCAAGAATGAGAGGAGGGTTGCAACCCCCATAAAAACTTTTGCCATCTTGACTTTCCATTATCATAGTTTGCAGACATCTGTGCATTCCTTCATTTTGATGTGAATTTGATGCCTAGTTAAAATACAACAGTCTGGGCATCAGATTCCCCACAAATAAGACCATTTGTGATACACCATAATGTGAAATGCTATCTGTGAATGCTGACAGAAGAATCCCCCCCAACCAAAATATTTGTTGTACTGCAGTTAAGGTATGTGGGAAGGTATGGTGGTGAAGTACCAAAAAGAGTTGTCTCAGCCTGAAAAGGGATATTTTTTAGTATTTAGTATTTATTTGATTTGTCAGTTGCTTACAAGATACAGGTATAAAAATAAACATAGTTTTGAATACATGAAATAGATACTTATAAGAAAAATAAAAAGAAACAATAGGACAGGGACGGTAGGCACGATTGGTGTGCTTATGCATGAAGTATGTGCTCTGTGTTCCTGGGCTGCTGTAGAAAATTGACTTAGAATGATGACAGAAATGAGTTAATTTTGGTGTTGATTCAGTTTCTTCCTTTAAATGGGTTTTAGCAGAATGGCCTGAATTTAACCAGCTTTAAAGTTCTTAGCAATCATTGAGAAAACTGTTTTAATCTATATGCCTTTCCTTGTTCAAGCATTTTTACAGTAGAAATAAAAAGTGTTAAGAGGAAGTACAAATGATCACAGATTGCTAATAACTGAATTGGGTTCTGGCAGAGAAGTACCTTCATCTTACGCCAAAAACAGAGTTAGCTTGAGAGATCAGTGAAATGATCCACTGGGAGGAAAAGTGAAGAAGGAAAATTTCTTCCCCTTTTATCATAATACTGTACAAGAGCTTGAGATCATCTCCTAGAATTATGCCAGACATCCTCTGCCAAAAATTAATGGTTTAATAAGTTATTTGAGTAACTATATACATCTGTTCCTCCCCTATTGGCTGAACAAAATGCCAGGCTGGTATTTCTTATATTCATTCTCTCATGCATAGAAAATCCTCCCACGGTGTCATCACTTTGCATACATAAGATCGAACCATCTCAATCTGTTTTTTCCTACGTCCATGTATGCCTACATATATAAGATTGTACATGCTTTGAAAATTGATCGAAAAGTGCTTCAGATTTTGTACTACAGGAGACCGTGAGAGGTTAAAAAAGTCAAGATGCCATCTGTGACCACACAACGGCCCACTCTTTTTTTACATATTTCATGTATATGACATATGTAAAAAGGGGCTGGGCTACTATCCTGATTTTTTTAATGCTCCTGATCCATGTAAATCTGAATGTAGCGTCTTTCTTTTTATTAGGAAAGCATCTTTATTCCTTTGAATTCTCAGCCATCCTCAGAAATAAAATGCTGGATGGTCACAGCATGATGAGATGGAACAATATTCCTCTTCTAAAAAACAAAACAACCCACAAATGATTTGTGACATGTTAAAGAATGGCGGTTACAGGATCCTTGTTTCTTCTGCATATCTAAGTGTTTTGTGGTTGGCCACATCCACCCTGGCATCCACTTCTGAACATGCAAGCCTTCCAAGAGAATCCACCAAGGGGGGGATGTTAATTTGGCAGCTGTGACTGTGGAATCAAACTCCACCTACTTTTTGTATGTGTGCAACACATAAAAAAGCAGAAATTTAATCACACCACTATTGTCATCTTGTTGCTTTTGACCTCTCTGAAGATGCCCCTAAGCCACTACCCACGCACTGTAACCTGGACAACTTCAGAAGATTCCCTACAATAAACTTGTAAAAGACCAAATGTTTTTGCCAGCCTAAAAATTTGGGACTCTCTACTATAAATAGGGTAATAAGGAAACAATCTTATGTAAACTTACCCGGCTGCCTCCTGCTACATTTTTTCCATTAGTTAAAGCTATTACTATTCTTAGAAAACTATGTATTTCTTATGTAATGCTAAAATGTTTTAGTCTTGATATAAAACTAAAGTGTACATCCTAATGCAACTTATGGCTCATAAAGTCTTAGATGTAGTCCCACAGACTCCCAAAGGTTGTCTAAATCAGACAGGGGGGGAAACTAAATGAATAATTGGTGAGGAATCCTATTAGTTATACTGAATTTAGTTTTAATTTTGCTCACACTGACTCTTCTATGGATTGCAGCCCCTAGCACTTCACCCACAGGCCAATTACAGCCTTGATGTGGAAAAAGTGATGCTACAGACAGAATAGATTTCAAGGGGTTTTCGGCAATGCTCAGATAAAATCCATAGAAGTCAAATAAAATGAAGCAAGAAGTACAGCTAAAAGCAATAGTATCTAAAGTATGTAGCTCAAAAAATATATATAGAAAAATGCCATGAGATCTATCCAAGGTGCTTTTCCAGATAGTAGAAGTCTGGTGATTCTGAATTCTCTGAACTGTGGTTAGTGGTGATGATGTGATAAACAATTAGGTCACTTAACTGTCATAAAACTTTACTTGAGCATTAATCTTGTTCTCGAAAGAGAATGTATGAAAGTGGAATGGACTGCCTCAGGAAGTCGCAAGATCATCTTCACTGGATGGTATGGGGATGTCTAATGCTCTGTACTGAAGAGGAAAGAGGAAAGGAGGTTAGCTTCTTGTCCATTCACACAGAACATGCTCTGGCAATGGAAATTCTGGCAGCAAATTCTCAGCCATGGTCCAGTAGCAGATCATATATTTGACTTCTATGGATTTACATCTAAAAGCTCTCAGGCTTAGTCTTTGGCAGCTCCATATAGGAGAGTGCAAGAATTCTACCTGTACAAAAATTGATGGGCCATTAATCTGACTCCGTTTTATAAGGCAGCTTCTGTGTTTCTGTTTGAATTGACTGTCTGCCAACCTTAAAATAGTTGAATCTATTCCTCTATCACTCACTCTTCTGTTTACCTTGCAGATATAGATGAATGTGCACTCTCACTGCACAGCTGTATTAGGGGAACAACATGCATTAACATCGGAGGAAGCTTTCAGTGTGTCAAGCCAGAGTGTCCCCAGACTGCTGGAAATGTCAGCTATGTGAAAACATCTCCCTTGTAAGTAACATCACCCTCCCACCAAAAAGCCCTGGTGGCGCAGTGGTTAGAATGCGGCATTGCAGGCAAGCTCTACTCATAGCCAGCAGTTCAATTGTGACAAGCTCGAGGTTGACTCAGATTTCCATCCTTTTGAGGTCAGTAAAATGAGGAGCCAGACTGCTGAGGAAAATATGCTGACATTTGTAAACCAGTCAGAGAGTGCTGTAAAGCACAATGGAACGGTATATAAGTCTCAGTGCTATTGCTATTGCTATAATGAGAAATGAGTTTTCTCCAACATGGTGCCTTTCAGATGAGTTAGATTACAACTCCAGTTGTTCTCAACCACTGAGAAGAAAGAATGTGGGAAGAGTGCTTCCACAGCAGAAATCTGCATTAAGCTGTTTACTAAAAAGTGTATATTTTCTGTAAAAACTAGCTACCATTATAAAAACACAACTATCATATACCTTTCTCTTGTTAATTCAAAACACCATTATTAAGAAGTGGCTTTTAAATGGTGACTAGCTGCTTAAAGCTTCTCCATTGGTTGACTTCTGACTGAAGATTTAGCATGAAACTGGCATCATTTATAATTTCCAATGTGATTTCATTACCTCATAGCAGGGGTGGGATTCTACCAGTTCGCACCGATTCTCTAGAAACGGTTGTTAACATTCTAAGCAGTTTGGAGATCCGGTTGTTAGAAGATATTACTGGTCTAATCCTGTAAGGAAGGCAGGAAGGAAACATTCTGGTGTTGCTTACAGAAACTGCCTCTCCGTTAAGCCTTATTACATTCTTGGAAGGACTAGACTTCCTGTCTCAGGAACTTCTCTGGAATTTTTTCCCCCTCCTTTGCTGGTACTTTGCTTGTGTGGAGTGACCATTCAAAGTTACAATGGCACTGAAAAAAGTGACTTAGGACCATTTTTCACACTTACGACTGCTGCAGCATCCCCACAGTCACGAGGCCAGGCGAGGAGATGCATGGCACGATGTGAGTGATGTTGAGTTGGCCATGCCCAGCCAATAACATGACCACCAAGCCACGCCCACCAACTAAGCCACACCCACAGAACAGGTTGTTAAAAATTTTGAATCCCACCCCTGCCTCATAGGTGTGTAATTTTGAGGTCTGTAGATACATTTGGCATTTTTAAAGTGTCACAAAGTAGTTCTCATGCATACGCAGGTAGTAAGAAAAGACTGCTATTTATCGCACTTTTTAAAGATATTATTTGAATTTCACTTTCAGCAGCTCTTCTGAGATTTGTCAGGGCTACTGTTCCTTGAATTAAAAGCTAATTCATTTCTTTTGAAATAGCTCATTAGAGATGCTTTCTTTGATTATTATTCTGTTCATGCTCCTAGGGAAAAATCAATTAGTGATTATGAATTTTAAAAAATAATTAAATGAAGTAAAATAACATATAGGTTTTGGTTGGAGTATTAAATAGGAGAGAAATAATTAAAGCAGCAGCTTTCCCAGTCATCAGCCAAACTTATGTTATACACTCAGCATTGACCAATTAATCAAAATTCAGGAATATAGCAGTCACAATTAATAATTACTCCATCATTTTAAAAGAAAGAAGAATGAATGTGTGGCTGAATCTCCATGCACTGCCTCACCACACGGACATTCATTACCTGCTGTACAATGATGACCTCTGTTTGTCAGCTGTGTTCTTCAATAACACAAAAAATACAGTAAAGAGGAAATCATTATTGGTCAGGAAATCCATAGTGATTATAGATTCCGAAATGCCTTGTAAAGCTAAGTTCAAAATCAATAACTTGATGGTGAAGCTTTTTTTGCTTGTTTGATCATAGACCAGAAAAATTTGCAACTTGTATCTTGGATTATTCAGTATAAATATATTCCCTATGGTCAGTAAGATTATTTGTTATGTCTTCTTTGATATGTGACCAAAATACATCATTCCTTAATGAGTCATCCTGGCCAAGTGGAGAAAATGCAGCTTTGTTTAAGTTTTGATAGCATCTTTGCTACAAACCAGCTAATGTGAAATACATTTAAGTTTCATTGATTTTGGTGAGAGAGCTAACCTTATGATTCAACCTTGCTTTAGCATCAGCTGGGTTTAAAATAACTTCATTTTCTTCTTTTACTTTAATACGTCTGGATAAATCATTGCTATCTTTAAAAAAAAATCTGTGTTATTAGACCAGAAATAAAATTGTTCATGGAACAAGAATTCAAATTGAATGTAATATTGGGGAGGTTGTATTAGATTATTTTGGACCATTTTATTCTGATCTACTGAAAGAAATCTATGTTTTAGATGGAGCCAGAAAAGAAGACAAATGTTAGGGAGATGTACAGCACCCCAGCAACCATACTTCATGAAACATCCTCCAAATTTAAAACTACTGCACAAAAGAGATTATTAGAAAGAATTTTTCTGCCCCCACTGCTGCATTCTTAGTGAAATTAGACAGTTTCCTAATCCTAAATAGAAAATATTTAGAGTGGGGAGGAGGTTGTCTTCCTTTCAGATAAATACAAATGTTTATCCAGTCACTGGTACCCATGGATCCTTAAAAGAAGGGCATAATCATATGTTCAAATTCTACCCAAATATACCTTTTTTATTCCTATCTCAATATTTTAATCTGGTATTGCTGCCATTCCACAGATGGAAATAGTTTTGCACACATAAATTCCTCTGCTAGATCGGAAATCTTGTAAACAATGCCTGCTTTTATGTCTGTTAATCCAAAAATATAACATCTGGCACAAGTATATTCCCTATTTACAAAGATCCACATAAAGAAGACTGTGTTTCTGTTTTGATAATAAAGGGAAATATTATCCCCGTTTTTTTCTAATGACTAGCTAAATGCTATGCCTGGTTATAATAAGACCTTTTGATACGTCCATCTATTATAAAACTTTCTGTTCCCCAAATGTATCTCAAAAGGAATATGAAAGCTCTCGAGTGCTACAGAACTCACCAACAAAAAAAGTTATATGAAAAGGAAGGGATAAGGAAGAAGCTGAAAAAGTTAAAATTGTAATTCTTGAACTTTCCTACCACTTTTTTATTTCTCACGGAAATAAATTTGGGTGGTCCTAATAAAGGCATAAGACGGGTGTCGGTAACCCAGAGCCACATGCAGCACTTTTATCTCTCTGGTGTGGCTCCCTGTCAGATGATCCCACCACTGGCTGGCTCCACCCTTTGCCCTCCCTTCCCAGTCACTCCTTGCCTGGCCTGAGAAAGTAAGGGCGACTGCGGGAGACGGAGACTCGCTCCATATTGCAGAGCGGGAGCAAAGGGCCCCTATACTTGCCTCATCTCTTGCTAGGTCTCATGGGTGCTTCTTCTGGCCCTTGTTGGTACTGGGTGCACCAACAGGGGGCGGAAGAAGCACCCGTGAGACCCAGCAACCAATGAGGTGCCAGAGAATCAGAATCCGAGAGAGACAAAGAGAGAGACAAAGAGAGAGACAAAGAGCGATAGACCTGTTTTCCACAGAAAAGGAAGCACCAGGAGCCACAGAACCTGGGTAGGCATGGCTGGCGGAGGGGGGTCATATGACTGGGTAGGAGTGTGTGATGAGTTGGCAACGCCCACACACGTTTTGAGGCTCCTGGCATTTTCTTTTCTGTGGGAAATGTGTCTAAATGGCTCTTTGAGAGTTTAAGGTTGCAGACCCCTGACATAAGAGAACCAGTTTTGATAGTGGTTAAGGCACTGGATCAGAAACCATGAGTTCTAGTTTTGCCTTTGATATAAAGCCAGTTGGGTGACCTTGGGCCAGTCACTCTCTCCGCCCTAGGAAGAAGGCAGCAGCAAACTACTTCTGAAATCTTGCTAAAATAACTGCAGATAGTAGTCCAGGCAGAGACCAGGAATGAACAATGATTTGAAGGTTTTCTCCACTAAAAAAGTTCACAGTCAGTTTGGTGTAGTGGTTAAGGCGCCAAGCCCGAAACTGTGAGTTCTAATTCTGCTTTAGGTATGAAAACACTTGGGCTGGTGACCTTGGGCTGGTCATGCTTTCTTAGCCCTAAAAAAAAGAAGCAATGCAAATTACTTCCCATATGTCTATGGGAACTGAAAACGCTTCTTGGGTGAAAAACAAAACATTTTCAAGCTAAACAAAGAAAGTCCTGTTGCCTTTTGAAAGCACCTTCAGGGCCCTTCCCAAATCTTGCAAGAAAACTGCAGGGATGTGTCCAGGCAGTCACCAGGAATCCAAACTAACTTAGGAATATTATTATTATTATCATCATCATCATTAATAATAATAATAATCGTACATTTTAGGAAGATACTTGGTTGATACCTAGGATGTTGGCAGCAACCCGTATCAACCATCAGTGCCAGTCAAGGATATTTGTGATACATTATTAAATGTTCAGTTGAGTTTCATGTTTAATGAATAAAAGAGATAATAATAATATTAATAACAACAACAACCTAGTAAGCTGCTATAAGAAGCTCACGCAGACTGACTACAAGCAACAGCATGACAAACTAGCAACAATGGAGCATTGGAAGATCTGTAAGAAATA